ATATATATATATTCCAACACTTGGCTCCTTTAAAGGTAATTACTCGTGTATGCAGCGTTCCACAGAAGTTCAGGAAAACCCGGCGCTACCTGCTTTCACTGAGTTATTTAAAACGGTTAGCTCAGTCTTTCAGAATGACTCGGTGATCTTATCTCAACATTCTTCCCTGCCTGGATGTTTCCCTTCGTCTCATTTGTTGTTGTTGTTTTTTGTCTCTTTATGCAGGATGGCAACTCTGCTCAGCAAGTTCAGGATAGACTTCTCAGACATCACTGTACTGGGAGACATCAACACCAAGCCTAAAAAGGAGCAGTAAGTTGTATTTATTACACAAAAATAAATTCAATCAGTCATCATTTTCCAGTTCACCCTCAAGGACGACATTTCTAGCTGAGCTCAGTGCAGAACCTTGTTTACACCTGATGCCTGCTTTTACCTGCAGCTTCATGTAGGCCAATTTATTTATTTTAAACGTGAAAGTCAGTCATTTCAAATATAAGCTGTAGGTTTTCCTTCTAATTTTATTTACCACTTTTTGTTGTATATCAGATTAGTTATGGTAGTCAAACATTAAATTTAGAAAACCTTTTGCAAAAAGTCTTCAAGTTGTAGTTAATAATTATTGAGTGGGGTCTTGAAAGGTTATATATGGTAACTGTGATAATCTTACCTGTTGTAGATGTCTCTTTACACAGCCTCAGATTGGAAACCCAAACTTGATTTTGGTTTTAGCCCAAGTGAACTAACGGCTTGCTCATCTGTCCAATCAGGATTCAACTCTGTTTCTCCAAGCTGAGCTTGTTCAAAAAGCTTTTTTCAACAGATAAAATATTAGTTATTTATAGGGTTGGGTACCGAAACTCGGTTCTATTATGGCACCGGGGCGAACATCCACAGTAGTACACTGACCGAAACACATCTCTAACTTCGGTGCTTTATTTCGGTGCCTCAAAGAAAGCTGTTAATTTGAGCCCTCTGGTGTTCACTGTTAACAGTGACAGCCGCGGCACACAATCTCCATGGACTCTCTTGTACGCGGTTTGACTCGGCTCGGTCTCGGCCCAACTCCACAGCCACGCTGTCTCAGAACCTCCTCTCCGATGGTTCGGGTAGAAGCGAGTACAGCACGCTTATGATTTTGACATCAGCAGAATTTTGCTCGTGGATTAACTCTTGGACTGACAGCAAATTTCCTCCTGGAGAGAGCTGCCTTTTTTTAATACGAGCACGCGGCGCGATACGACGACATGGTGAAATAAAACTGCCTTTTTGGGAAAGGCAGAACTTTTAAACACTTCCTGGAGAGAAGTGAGGGAGACGGAGCTGAGCAGATCACGGCAGGTTTTCAGCATAATGGCCAACACGGTTACACAAGCACTTCGCTAAACAGCACCGTGA